TGTAAACGGAAAGGGGAGTAGCATCTGAGACCAACTATGATCGGAAAACGTTCCAGCAGGCCGCAGCGTCTTATCCCAACACCAGCTTTTTTTCGTATGAGACGGCTTGCGTGCTGAACTCATTGTGTAAGTGTCCGTATCCTAGTCGTTTTGTGTCCTGGTTGGTTTCGTATTGGTTATAGAGTCCAAGTAGGATTTGTTAGCTCGTGCTAGAGTGGACCTAGTAGCTAAGGTCTTGCTTGATCACTCAAAAGAAATGGCAATTGGGCGAGAGACACCCGATGCAAAAAAAAAAAATTGTGCGGGAAGCACACGGTGCGGAACGAGAAATTGGGCCGGAAAAACCCGCTGTCAGAAATTGAGCTCGAAACACATGGCGTGAGAAATTAGGCGAGAAACTTTCATGTTGAGGATCATAGGGGAATCACAAGGCACAAGAAATTAGGAGGAAATTTTGGGGTGGAAAAAACATGGTGCGAGAAATTGGGCTGTAAACTTTAGACACGGGAAGGTTTTTTCTTTCGGTCAGAAAACACAAGGCACGAGAAACTAGTTAATAACACCATATGGCACTAACGAAAATGACACATAAAGAATTTCCTGGTAAACCGATAATAATTGATTTTCAGTCACGGCCCAGAAATAAAAATTGGGCATTTTTCTCAAGTTCGCAGCGGCAATTTAGCCATCTGGTTAAATTTTGTGTGGGGTTTGATCTGCTCATACCTCCTTAACATATTTCAGCTGGGTTCATTCACCGTCTTTGTAGAGCTCGTAAAGCCGAACATGAGATGTAGTATTGCCAAAGAAGGAGATGGTGTTGCGGCAATGACTTGTCGGGCTATGAGATGAAGACTATGTGGCGATGGTACATATTAGCTCCTTAAGTTTTAACCAACTCCAATGCTGGATTTTGACCCAGCTTTTCCAAGTCCGACGAGATTCTGCCGCCTTCTTTCGTCACCAACAATGAACTGCTATGAAATAATTGACACTGACATTGCACAACCTTGCTCTTCTCTCCCTGGGGAACAATCAGTGTTGTGCGCCACCATCCATTGCTGACGGCCGCAGTCGTACCCCACACAGGTAACTTCGTTGTGGAAGGCATGTGTTTAGGGGAGAGGCAAGGAGAGGGAGAGGCTAGGGGCATGGTGGGAGGTGATCTGGAGGACAGAAGTCACGTCCATCGGCTGGTGTTCGACAATGAGATGGTCAGCAGAAACAAAGGTAAAAAGGGAAAGTAGCTTGGCAAAATTAGCACAAAATCACCTCCTGCCAAAGCCACTTAGATTGATTTTGGCCCGTTGTGAAAGATTAGACAACATATGGTTTTGTAAAAAGAAAACTCAAACATGTTATTTTGCGGAACCCGGGCTGCAAAACCACACAACTATAAGACTTTTTTTACACTGTCATGTACTACAGAAACGTCCTATAAAAAGTTACTCAGAGGTTACTGTCATGGAGTATATATAATCCAGGGACGTAAAAGTTTAGATCGTAGTTCACAGCAACATCCGTTGAAAACAGCATAGCAACTTCATCGACCTAGCAACGCACGCAACAATATACTGTAATTCGCAGCATAAAAATATTCAAGGCCTGCACAATCTTAAACTGATAAGGCCTACTAGTAGATTTTATTTGAAAGCATATTGCAAAAATCCAACAGCCCTTTCATGCGTTCAATTCACCAACAGTCTAAAAATGGCATGTTGGTGACAATACAAAGTATAGTGATCCACAGCTATCGCTCTCACTGTCCTCAACAGAAGTTTGAGCTCAAGACAAATCTTCCGAGAAGTTGACAGCCAGGTCCCAGTAGTGTGCAACTTTAGAATCTAAAAACACCTTCTTGGCAGCAGCCTCACTCTGGCACTTACGCACACCGAACCACCTGGGAAAGGCAGGCTTCACCACACTACCTTGCCATACTAATGCACAGCTATTCACCGGCTTGTCTGGTTCCTCGTCGGCATCATTATCCTCGTCGCCAACTGCAGCAGCCCAGTCAATCCTGTTAAGCATCAGGTTATTGTACCTCTTGATCGACTTCACCCCTCCTTCCACAACCACAACACTTATACCATCCGTGATAACTGCAGCGCCAGTCAACCGGTTGTCTCGGGCATTCGCGTCCACTTTAAAGCGTGTCTGACTGTGTGACAGGTCTCTGACTCTGTACACACAAACAGTGAAACAGTCTACTGTGTCAGGATCATCAAAAAGCTTCCTCTCCTTTTTCTCGCGGCGCTCAGATGGCGTGAGTTTGCGGGCAATGTTGCGGTCGACGTGAGCCTGCTCACGCTCTGCAGCAGCCATTCGTATTTCCATCTCCATGCGTGTCGGGTCCTGTGTACTTGAGCACCAAGTACTTTCATAAGGTTGCTCATCTTGACCTTGGGCTTTGGTGGCTCTAAGAGGCCTTGCCTAATCATTTCTTGCCTATCTTTTTCCGTAGCGAGGCGCCTCTGTGTTCTATACTTCCTCTGTTCATTGTTAGTAAGCTTAAGTGGCTGAGGCGGTGGTGTCATGGGCTTAGCCGGTGGTTCCAATGGCTCTGGATGTTGCACGTAGATGGTGATCTTATCCATATTAAGCTTTTCCAAGGAGATGTCCTCGTACGTGGCAGATATCAGGATTTTTGAGTCCCTGGAAAGAAATAAAATAGGCATAGTAAGTAGCTGTATACTGATAAAGGAGAGCTACAAACAATCAACAGAGTGAGGTAGCAGCAAACCATTGCTCAATATCCGGAATCTCTTCCTTCTGCTTCTGCTTCGGAGGCCTTCCACCAGGAGCAATTTCAATTAGCTTTGGGTTCATGTCAACTTCCACCTTTGCCTCGGCAAGATGAGCTTGATTTACTTTATGCTCTTTGGCTTGTGCTTCACCAAATTGATTCTGCACAATCAAATCAAACTATTAAGTTTAGGTACCAAAGGGACAATAAACTAAAACATGACTGCAACTAATATATTCAAAAAAAGGTTAATCCTTACAGACCTTAATCCTCTGCAATTCAGCCTCCCTCGAAAGTTTGCCTTCCTCAATAAACTGGAATCCTGGCCTTTTAGGACGAAGGAGCTTGGTTGGGTTGATGCCCATCCTTTCATCAAAATGAACAGTGGATTTTGCAAGCGACTCCAAGTCTGGTTTGATAATCTGGAATGCATCCTTCTTCTGCTTGTTAATGTTGACCTAGCAAAGGATGAACCAAAAGTAGTGAGTCAATGTACAGAACTATATATCAGCCTGAAATATATGTTAAGTCTCAGAAGAAGTTTACCTTCAGAGTACTCAGGTTGCTTGGCTTGGTCATGCTGATAACATTTCCATGCTCATCGATTTCCCTACCTTGAGCATCAAGACGGAGAACAGGGGCCTTGGCAGGTCTTTGAGGAACATTCAGTCCACTGGATGTACCAGGGAGCATGTTGATAGAAGGTGCAAACTGTGGATCCTGGCGAAATCCCCTCTTAGTAGCAATCTCTTGTGAAGGAATCTGTGTATCAGGAATAGCAGTACCAAGTTAATTAAGCTGTGTGGGGAAACATGAGCTTAGAATGGTTACAAAAGTATAAAAAGAACAATGAAGCAAAGGACTAGCAGTAATAATAGCAGTATTGTCTTACCACAGGTACTCTCTTGAGTTTTTCTGATAATTCCTTCTTCAGTTGCAAAGCCTTTTTAGCTTTCGCTAAAGCATCAAGACTTAAGTTGCTACTTCTGCCAGCAGATGAATTTGCAGTTCCATCTTCACTAGATTTTCCGGTAACTTCGTCAGACCTAATACTAACTCCCCCATTTTCATTGGTGGCAGTGATCGAATATACCTTTGAAGGAACAGGGTCAGCAGATGGCACCACAACAGCAGGTGCAGAATTGAGAGCACCACCCTGCAAAATATAATTAAGACGCAAAGTCAGCATATGAATGGAATCAATTAACGATGAACCTGACATGAACGTTTTAATTAAAGAGAAGACGAACTGTAGACCCTCGTATATTTCACCAAATAAGCATCATATTCACCAGCAATGTAAATATCATCTTCAACAGCAAACCTTTCCTCACAGTTTTTACAAACAGAAAGTAGTAGGACAGGTATATCACTAAATGTATAATTATGAGTTCGTCATCAAATCAAATTGGTACTCAAACTCAAGCATATCAGGAATCACTTCGCAAATTTCAGAAACATAAATCACATCACTATAAAGCATGAACAGTAGTATAAGAAAACAAACAGTAGTGGATGCTTACATTAGGCGCTGCGCCGCGCTGTGGATCTCCATTTGCACCTGACTCTCGCCGTGGCCTTTCCTCCTTCCGAGGAGGCGGATCCACTGAGGCCCTAGGTCGCTTCCCCCCTTCCCGGCCGGGCTCGCTGCTGTCGTGGTCCTTGCGTTTCCGTGACGGCGGCGGCAGCGGCTCGCGGTCGGCCGAATCGCGGCGCCCCACGGAATCCCGAGCCTTGTGGTGGTGGTGGTGATGTCCGTCGCTGCCGTGGCGGCGGCGTCGGTGGCGGTCCTCATCGCGGTGGCGGTTGCGATCCATGGATTCAGACGGGCGGATCCGCGGATGGGAGGGAGATTGGGGCGCCGCGGTGGTTAGCGCGTGGGGCGTTTGCGTGGGGGATGATGTGGACTCTATTTACAGACCTCCAAATAACATAATCTAAATTGAGTCAAGCTCTGGACGTTCAAAATCCCATAGTACGACCACAAATTAGAGGACCTCTAGAGGGGCCTAGATGTCTGCCACGTCGGGCTCTGACAATCTAGACCCACCCAAACCGTTATCCGGAGTCTGTGTTTTTTCTACTCTGCTGCCCTCCTCCGCTCTCGGAGTCCACCGCTACCACCGCAATCCTCCAGACCGTAGGCCTTACCCGACCTCAGTCACTCCATCCAGCAGCCTCTTTGTCAAGGCTGCCGCTGCCACCACATATTTTTGCCGACGTCCTCCATGGCGGGCACCATGCACAATAAGTGTTTGGTAAAAAAAACAATACAAGATACTTACATTAAGCATTGTCCGTAGTCCTTGGCCTTTCATCGTTTCTCAAAGGTGGCTACACTGAGGCCTTAGGTCGCTTCCTCCCTTCCTGGACGCACTCGTCGCGGTCGTGGGCCTTCCATTTCTATGACGACAGCGGTGGCAGCGACTCACGTAAATGGTTGTCGCATCGGTGGCGGTCCTCGCCGCAGTCGTGGATGGTGTGGCGGTCCTCGTCATGGTCGTGGCGGGAAGATCATTCGCGGTCCACCCGGAAAAAAAATCATTTACGGTCCGAGGGGGAGGGACCGGGGTTAGGGTTGGAGATGAGTTTCAGATGGTCAGATGGGAGCAACGCGTCAGAGATTGGGGTGTGGCGGTGCTAGGGGCGACCGTCTAGCGACGCTAATTGGCATGCGGGACGACCTACCTCCATATACGAGTGCTATGGAGGCATGTAGGTAGATGATGACTACCATCCGGAGACGGAAAAACCCCAAGCTGGTTAAAAGCAACCCGTCGAACCCGGGTTCCAATTAGGAATACAAATCCAAACTAGATGCGTTTGGATTGTATATTTTTAAGTGCATCTCCAATGCAAACGCTCAAATCTATATTTGGATTTGCTGCTTCAAACACTTTTTACATCTCCAACTCAGCATTTTAAATTTGACTGAACCAGTTTGAACGGTCGAAATCATGCAGTGGGATCCCAAATCAGAAAAGGTCTAGAAAAGTCCGGACTCAATCAATCCGCCCGAAGCCTGGGTTTTTCACACTCAGTCCCTCCTTTGCACTCTCTCTCCGCTCTCAGAGCCCGCAACTACTGCCGCAACCCCAGACACCGCCTAAGCCTTGCCGGACCTTTGCCGCTCCACCCAGCTGCCTTACCGTCAGTGTTGCCGCCGCATCCCCCCGAGTCCGCATGTCGCCCAGGTACCATTTGCCCCTGGCGATGTCATCCATGGCGTGTGCCTTGGACGACAAGTGTTTGGTGGAAGTCATAACACATTTGTTTATGTTTTCGTTGTTTACTTTGAAGCAAATGTGATGGATTCAGACAAGGGGTACTTCTATGCCGAGCTCATGGATTCCTCTTCATTGGATGATGACCAAGATGACGCCAGACGGCGATAATAATGATGATTCTTGATGATGGTGATGCATACTGCAAAGTGCCCGCCTGGCTTCGTCTGTCGTCGCACCATAGACCGCATTGTGTCATGCTCGACGAGCTCCTCCTTATCCACCATATGCATTTAACTCCAGGCGGTGAGGAGCTCAGTGCACCCCCAAGAGCTGAACTGGGATCGCCGTTAGCAGGGTGAGCAACAACAACAATGCCGGTTTGCTCATGGGCGATGTACAGAACACCAACTCAGCTGCAGGCGTAAAAGAAACTTTCCCTGTTACCTTTTCATTCTTTGGCCTTTTGCCAGTGCAATCACCGTCTTTCTTAGTTCTCACGATCATTAGCCGGCTACGTATTATTCTCATCATCCTCATCCTTGTCAAGACGGATGAGGAGGATCTCAGGGTGGTGGTGCCACTGCCAACTCCACCTGACAATTCTATGTGAACATCGGGACATGCATGGGTCACTTGTATCGATCAAGCAAAAGAGGGTTGGTCACAGATACTATTACAGAAATAGAAGGGTGCAGAAATAGATGGGTGATTCTGATGAGAAAATAGGCAGTTTTCCAATTAAATTAATCCATGAATAAATCATGAGCATGACATGGACAGCATTGATAACATACTGATTATGATCTAACAGAGCATGTACTACGCATATAGTAGAGACATCTACGCATACCGCTAGTACTGCTACAACAGAAAGAAACACGAGAGGGATAAGCGATGTATACCCTCCAATCGGCCACGCGGTGGCGGTGGCGGTGACAGCAGCCGCGGCATCCTCGGCGGCCTTCTTGTCGGCCTCGGCTTTCTCAGCGGCGGCACGGTCGGTGTCGGTCGACATGGTGATGATGAAGGTGATGCGGACGTAGATGAACAGAAGCGAGCAGTCGCGTAGTCGCTACCCAAAAACCTAATCGCCCCTCTCCCCGTACAGGATCCGGAGAGGCGTGGTTTCGGAGGCCTGCTCTCCCGTCAACCGTGTACGCGGTGAACGGGACGGAGTCGCCGGCGGCAGCAGCAGCAGAGGAACGACGTGGGCGTGGAGGCGGAGATGCGTTCTGTTTTCGTGACGGCTAGGGTTGGCAGCGCCCCACATATATATGTGCGGCCGCGCGTGGAGAGACGTGGGCTGAACCCACGTCCAAGTCGGTAGCCCACGATCCGACGTCTCAGATCGTGGCCCCACCTGTCAAAGACTCTCCGTTCCTGACCGGCAAAAAGAAGCGCATAGGAGTGAGCTCGGCTCGGCTCAATCCCGCAACCCGCGGCGCGTCGTGACGAGGCGTGGCGTGGCGAGGCGAGCGGAGGAGGAGGAGTGCGCGAGGGCCTCATCTCTTCTCAAGCTCCAATAGCATGAGGGAGAGAGTCCCTTATAAACCACTCCAACTTTCCTTCCACTTCCAAGGTGGGACTAAACTTCCCACACACCTAGTGCCATATAACCCACATGGGCCCTTAGAGATTTTTCAGAAATTGCAATATGGGCCTAGAGCCCATCTCAGATTTCAGCAATCCCCCACCAGATCTCGAGGGCCCATAGTGTCCTCTGTTCCAAATACTGTTTTGATATACTAGTGTTTCAGTGAAGACCTGTTAAGGTTGAGCTTCACCTAGAGCAAGTAGCTACATTCCTTCACAACTGAACAATGGACTATGCCTTGAATTGTCAGTTTGGCGTAAAGAAGTTTCACCACATGTCTTACTAGTACTGGGCTGCCGAAGGCTCACCCCTCGGGTGGAGCATATAAGTCACACTCCTGGCCTATTCATGAGTTTACTAGAGATCACCCCAATCTCATAGACTGTGACTAGCAGTCGGGCTCACATAGGTGTGTTCCTCCAAAGATCGCTCTGTAGGATAGCATCTTGCTTATACATATAAGCCTTGGAACACATTAAGACAATAGTCATCCTTCCGCACAGTTTCCGAGAGTATTGCATCTCCAACGGAGTGGGTTAGTAAAGTTACTCTCCTCAGTTCACCACTGGCTTGTTTCCCCAGGTCCTACTTCACGGGATCTCCGATCACATAGGTTGGGTTACCACCATGGTAACTCATGTGGGTTTCATACCCATCTCCCTCGATGCACTATCTATCACTACACGTGATAGCCCTTTCGTAAAGGGATCTGCCAGATTCTTAGCCGTATGGACATAGTCCAACGCTATCACTCCGGAGTTTCTTAATTTTCTGACAGCCTTTAATCTCATTCTTATGTGTTTGTTGGACTTCATGTTGTCCTTTGAACTCTTCACCTTGGTGATGACAGTCTGATTATCACAGTTCATAAGGATAGCCGGAACCGGTTTATCAACCAGTGGCAAGTCCATCAAAAGATCTCGAAGCCATCCTGCTTCAACACCAGAAGTGTCTAATGCTGTTAATTCTGCTTCCATTGTCGATCTCGTTAAGATCGTTTGCTTGCAAGACTTCCAAGAAACAGCGCCACCTCCAAGAGTAAACATATACCCAGTTGTGGCCTTCATCTCATCAGCATCAGAGATCCAATTCGCATCACTATACCCTTCAAGTACCGACGGGTCTCCGGTATAGTGAAGTCCATAATTCATAGTACCTTTGAGATAGCGCATAACTCTTTCTACAGTATGCCAATGTACATCACCCGGTTTGGAAACAAACCGGCTCAGTTTGCTCACAGCAAACGCGATGTCAGGCCTCGTTGCGCTCGCTAGGTACATCAGTGAACCAATGATTTGAGAGTATCTCAATTGATCTTTAGCCATGCCTTTGGACTTTCGAATCAACACGCTAGGATCATATGGTGTTTGAGATGGTGTGCAGTCCGAATATCCAAAGCGACTCAACACCTTCTCAACATAATGGGATTGCAGAAGTGTGATCCCACCCTCATTATCTCTCAGTAGCTTGATATTCAAGATAACATCAGCCACACCAAGATCCTTCATCTCAAAGTTCTGAGACAGAAAGGACTTAACCTCCTCAATGACTTTGAGGTTGGTTCCGAATATCAGTATGTCATCAACATACAAGCACAGTATAACTCCTTCGCCCCCACCATGGCGATAGTATACACATTTGTCAGCTTCATTAACAACGAAGCCAACAGATGTCAGAGTTGTATTAAACTTATCATGCCATTGCTTAGGTGCTTGCTTTAGGCCATATAGAGATTTCAGCAACCTACACACCTTTCTTTCCTGACCATCTATCACAAAGCCATCTGGCTGTTGCATGTAGATTTCCTCATTTAGCTCTCCATTCAGAAAAGCTGTCTTGACATCCATTTGGTGGACGAGAAGACCATGTGAGGCCGCCAACGAGAGTAATACTCGAATGGTGGTCAGTCTAGCCACAGGTGAATAAGTATCGAAGAAATCTTCCTCTTCTTTCTGGTCATAGCCCTTGGCCACAAGTCTAGCCTTGTACTTTTCAA